AGTAGAAAAGAGAAAAGTGGTGATAAGAGGAAGATCAGAAGAGAGAAGAAAAGAAATGGATGGTTTTATAAACTCCAACTCAAATGCTATAATCAAGGCAGCTCTTTCTTCTAGCTTCCTAATTCCTTGCTAGTCTAACATACTAGATGTACTAGGACAAAATTAAGTATGTCTTTTTTAAAAAGAAATAATGTGTTTTTATTGATTTTAGTGAGAGGAACAGAGAAGGAGAGAGAGATAGAAACATTGATGAGAGAGAAACATCAATCAGCTGCTTCCTGCATGCCCCTCACCAGGGATCAAGCCTGTAACACGGGCATATGCCCTGACTGGGCATTGAACCATGAACTCCTGGTTCATGGGACGACACTCAACCAACTGAGCCACACCAGCTGGGCAAAATTAAGTATGTCTTAAAGAACTTGCAAGAGAGAGACAGTGTGTGTGTTTTTAGTGGCTGGGGGGAAGGAGGGGGCAAGAGGAGAAAGGAAAACATCTGCAGTCGTTGAGTGCAGGTTGCTTATCATAGCAACAGCTTTCCAGCAGCAATATGACCCGATATTGTCATCAGAAGACTTGTTTAGTTTTCGTTTCTGAATGTGAAGACTCAAACGTAAGAGGAGAGTATTTTATAGTTGCCACTGCCTTTAAAATCACATCCTCAGCCCCAGTTTCTGTATGCGAGGAACCAGTTCCAGAGTGGCTACGTGAGAGTGTCTCCAGGAGGAACGATGTTGTTTCTGGACAGACCAGTCTGTCTCCACTTTTGATTTTTACTGCTCCAGGATGTTTAGTCCCTATTCCAGGAAGGCATGGCAAGGGTGGCCATTTCTGCTGTGACCTCATGGGGCGTTTCAGAAGTCTCACTATCCTCCACCATTGTGTTCACTGGCTCCAAGCCAGCAGACACGCATTCGAACCTCTGTCCCTGTGACCATTCCCAGCACTTCAGGGAACCGTAGCCTGGCCGTTGTTATAATATTTCACATCCACAAAACATAATATTTTTGACAACTGCTCCAATTCCTAGGAGCACTCACATCTATAAGGCACTACACAAGCCTTAAGATTCAGTGAAACATTGAGAGGGCTTTAAAGGAGATCATATGAAAAAGAAATATATATATATATACTTCTCCAGAAAAACATCAATCTTAGCCTGTGTGGTGGACAGAATGCTGTCACAGTGTTAACAACAGTGAAACTAATTGTTAATCTGCTGCTGCTCTTCCAGTCAGCTACTTTTCATCAGGGCCAAAAAGAACATTCTGGCAAGACTAAAACTATCCACCTGGTTTAAAGGGGACAGATCCAGGAACACAGTGCGATTCTGAAATCTTTGGGAGTGAAAAGGCATCATTCTGTTCCTTGTCCATCCCATCCAAATTTTGCCCTAGCAAGGTAGATCAAGTTCATTCGTGTTCTCTAAGCCCTTCCCAAAGATCTTTTTTCTCTCTTAGGTTTCTCAAGTTTACTTATTTTATTTTTTGTTCCTCGCTCAAATTTATTTAATTTTTTTTAAAATTGGGAGTAAATGTGATTTTTAAAAATATGTATAGCTGGAGGAACCCTTCATACCCTCTGCCCCTCCCCCTCCCGTTCCCAGCCCCCCTTAAAAAATAAAATAAAGTAAAATAATATGTATAGCTGCTTTATTTACTATACCAGTATTTTCCATTGATTTTTAGAGAGAGTGGAAGAGAGAGGGAAAGACAGACAGACAGAAAGATTGGTTGCCTCTTCCACACACCCTGACCAGGGCGGGAGCTGGGGAGGACCCTGCAACCAAGTCATGTGCCCTTGACCCGAATTGAACCCAGGACCCTTTGATCTTCAGGCTGATGTTCTATCCATTGAGCCACACTGGCTGGGGCTTTATTTATTTTGAATTAATCTTTATTGTTGAAAGTATTACAGATGTCCCGTTTGTTTGTTTTTTCTCATTGACCTCCTTCACCCTGTACCCACCCCTCCCAAGCCTTCATGCTTTATTGTCTGTGCCCATGGGTTACCCTTCCCAAAGATCTTAAAGATGAAAGAACACAGTTGAGATGCTGGTAAGAAATGTTATTCTAGCCCTAACCGGTTTGACTCAGTGGATAGAGCATCGGCCTGTGGACTGCAGGGTCCCAGGTTCGATTCCGGTCAAGGGCATGTACCTTGGTTACGGGCACATCCCCATTGGGGGGTGTGCAGGAGGCAGCTGATTGATGTTTCTCTCTCATCGATGTTTCTAACTCTCTATCCCTCTCCCTTCCTCTCTGTAAAAAATCAATAAAATATATTTTTTTAAAAGTTATTCTAAGTATAGAATTTCATCAGCATTAAGAATTTGATTATGCATGAAAATTAAAGATTTATGCAGACACATCAGAGAAATATGTGTTCAAGATTCACAGTAAACACCAAGTGAATGATAAGCAGCCTGTTTTTGCTACATGTTCTCCCATTTATCTGCCTTGCGTGGGAGTACATGCTAAATTCTGTACTTCAAAAGAATGCCTGAGGACTAGGCCTGAATAAAAAGGGCTACAGTAAGAAGAAAAGATAAAAAGAAAAAAAATAAATGGGGTAGATTGGATTCAATCTTCTTTTCTGGACCCCAAGACAAATTAACTGAAGTGCAAAATATATTTTTAAGTCATGTTTTTCTTTGTTGGCATAATGGCAAAAATACTCTCTTGGCCAACGGGCAGGGAATAGAATACACTAGTAAAGACTCAAGTTTTTCTGTTGCCAATTTGGCCATATGAATCAGGAACTTCAAAAACTGCCTGACTTTTTAAATCACCAACTGCACTGAGGCAATAATCAGACAAGAGTACAAATATATAAAGATGTGCATCACAGCTTTCTTATTTTTAAATTAAATTTGCAGAGGTTGGGGGTGGGGGTAAGAGATCAACCGAAGGACTTTTATGCATGCATATAGGCATAACCAATGGACATAAGACACTGGGGGGTAGGAGAGGCTGGGGGATTGTCAAGGGGAAGAAGACATATGTAATACTCTTTGTAATACTTTAAGCAATAAAAAATAAAGCTACAAAAAAATTTAAATTTGCAGGGATAACATTGGTTAATAACATTATATAAATGTCATGTGTACAGGTTTGTAATAACACAAGATCATTATACAGTACTGTGTGCCCACCACCTGTCTAGCCTCCTTTCATCACCATGTATTTGATTCCCTTTACCCTCTTCATCTTTCCCCTCCCCCGACTCCCTTCTGGTAACTACCATACTGTTGAATCTATGAGTTTGTTTTTTGTTTGTTTGTTTTGAAGCTCACATGTGAGTGAAATAATATGGTTCTCCTCCTTTTCCATCAGATTTATTTTACTATAATATTCTCAAGAATCACCCATGTTGTTGCAAATGGCAATATCTCATCTTTTTAATGGCTGTGTAGTATTCCCTTGCATATATGTACCACATCTCCTTTATCCATTACCCATCAAAGTACACTTATGTTGTTTCCATGTCTTGGCTATTGTGAATAATGCTGCAATGAACATATATCTTTACCAATAAATGTTTTCAAATTTTGAGGTAGATACCCAGAAGAGAGATTGCTGGGTCATGTGGTAGATCTATTCTAATTTTTGAGGAACCTCCATACTATTTTCCATAATGCTTACATCAATTCACACTCCCACCAGCACTGTGCAAGGGTTCCCTTTACTCCATATTTCTCCAACACTTGTTATTTCTGTCTTATTGATAATAGTCATTCTAATAGGTATGAGGTGGTACCTCATTATAGTTTTGATTTGCATTTCCTTTACAAGTAATGATGCTAAGTATTTTTTCATATCTCTGTTGGCTGTCTGTATGTCTTCCTTGGAAAAGTGTCTATTTAGGTCCTCTCCCCATTTTATTTTTTAGTTCTTTTTAATTTAACTTAATTTCATCTCCATTTTTTAATTGGACTGTTTGTTTTGTTGTTGTTGAGTTGTATAAGTTTTCCATATATATATACATTGCAGTAGGTTGATTGCCTTGGAAAGGTGGGTAGAAGCGTGGCAGTAGCATGGCAGTAACATGGCAGTGATGTAAAGGCTTTAGATATAAGCAGACTTGGAATCATGTCTTGTTCTGCAATTAACCAGCTGGGTGTCCTAGGGGAATTTATTGGACCTAAGTCCAACTCTTTTCCTTCGTATGGATAATCAAAGGAGGTAATGAAAATAGAACACTTGGCAATGAGATTGCCATGAAGAGATATTGAAGCTTAAAGGGACTATTGATTTAAAAAAAGATATTGTTGGGTGTTATAGACTGAATATTTGTGTCCTCTGAAATTTTATATGCTGAGATCTGAATCGCAGTGTGATTATATTTGGAGGTGGAGGCCTCAAGGAGGTGATTAGATCATGAGGGTTGAGCCCTCACGAATGGGATTGATACCAGCCCGATGACCCTCAGGGCTTTTGTGCCTGCCTCTGTGAAGCCAAACACAGGACACAGGTGCTGATGGAAGGAAAGTGATTTCTTCAGGTGCCCACCTGAAAAGCTGGCAGGCTCATGCCTTAACATCTCAGGGCAGGCAAAAGGCTTTAATAGGGGGCTTGTGGGGAGAGGGGAACTCAGGAATTCTGGTGGCATGCAGTTTCGAATTCCAGCTATCAGGTGGTTTTGATATTCTCTTCCGTGTGTGTCAGCATCTGGTGTTTGTTTTTTGTTTGTTTGTTTGTTTTTCTCTCTGCCAGTTTCATTGATGATCTCTGGGTACAGGATGTTGCAGACCTGGCCAGCCATTGGCACCTGCTATACTCCTGTGGTCGAGGCCAGCAAAAGGGGAACTGGAACTGCTGCTGCCTGTAACATGCTTATAAGGAAACTGTCAGTATCCGTTCCTTTACCAGTTCATTCGTATATTTTATTCTAATTCCATTTCATGGGTTGGTCAGAGTAGTATAAAGCTTTTATTCCCGCCCACTAGCATGGCTCAATGGTTGAGCGTCAACCTATGAACCAAGGGGTCATGTTCCAATTCCCGCTCAGGGCACATGCCCAGGTTGTGGGCTTGATCCCCAGTGGGGGCTGTGCAGGAGGCAGCAGAGGTACAGAATAATCACACTCTTGTCAAAGATATACAGATCTATATATTCATTAGTAGCTAAATAATTATTGAGCATTTACTAACTGACAAGCACTTCATTAGGCAAAGAGAAATATAATAATGAGCCCAAAATTAGATGGGCCCTGACTTCCTGGAGTCAACAGTCAACAACTGGTTACTGATTGTGATTAATTGAGTGTAAAATCCCAGTGATGATGCCAGAGAGGAACGGGGTAGTGAAAACAGACAATAGCAGGATTTGATCCATTCAGAAGAGCAGGGATATTTCCTAAAGAAATAGCAGTTGAGCAAAGACAGAAGGATAAGTCGGCCTTGACCAGATGAGATGGGGGTGAAGAGGTACAGTGTACAAGCTAAGCACATTGAGTCTGGAGTCAGCCAAGTGCCCTTCCAAACCGCATTCTGCCGCTCACCAGCTCCTGTGATTCTAGGCCTGTCATGCAATCCCTCTGTCCCATCAACTTCACCTGTAAAATGGAAATACATAGATTTAATGATTGTTATGAGGAGTGAATGAGATAATATGAGAAGTGCTTAGCATCGTACCTAATATATAGCAAATATTCAATAAGTGCTAGATAGTACTTAAGGGGGGAAAAAAAGAATAGAGATCCAAGTGCAAAAGGGAACAGTGTATGCCAAGGCCCCATGGGAGTGTAATAATAAACAAAAAGAAATGAAGCCCTGATGTACAGTAGTCTCCCCTTATCCTCGGGGGATACGTTCCAAGACCCCCAGTGAATGCCTGATACCTCAGATAGTACCAAGCCATATATATATATATCCCCAAAATGTATACACACACTTTGAATAATTATAAAGGCAATGTTATTAAACTATATTTCTTTTTCAAAACTGAGCTGTTAAAGTGTGTACACAATTTTGGGGGGATGCCTTGTATATATACTATGCTTTTTCCTATACAGATATTCCTTTTCACTTAAAGGGAGCACCTTATGGCTTCTCTTGGGCATATCTGAATCACTAGCATCGAGACTCTTGCACTTTGGGGCCATTATTAAGTAAAATAAGAGTCGCTTGGACACAAGCACGGCCATCCTGAGACAGTTGATCTGATACCCAGGTGGCTGTGAAGTGGCTAACGAACAGGTGGGTTGTGTATACAGTTTGGCCACTCTGGACAAGGGGATGATTCACATCCTGAGAGATTTCACCACATTACTCAGAACAGCACACAATATAAAACGTACGAATTGTTTATTTCTGGGATTTTCCATTTACTATTTTCAGGCCACCGTGGACTGAGGGTAGCTGAAAATATGGGGGAAAAGGTTGTGGATAAGTGGAAACTACTGTATATTCTGTTTTTATTCTAAAAGCTGCTGGAAGCCATTGAAGGTTATATTCCAAAGTCCCCGTCATTCTCCCTCCCCACCTTTGTGCGACAGCCCCACTCGCCTACTCGGGCTCTCTAGTACTTGTCACCAGGTCTTTCACATAACGTTCCCTTTTCATAGACTGTTCTTTCCAACTATGTCCTCCGAGTTCCTTTCTTTATTTTTTTAAGTATTTTTATTGATTTCAGGGAGGAAGGGAGAGGGAGACAGACAGAAATATCAATGATGAGAGAGAATTATTGATAGGCTGCTTCCTGAACACCCCCCCACTGGGGATCGAGCCCATAACCTGGGCATGTGCCCTTGATGGGAATCAAACTGGGGACCTTTCAGTCCACAGGGAGATGCTCTACCCACTGAGCAAAACCAGCTAGGCCTCCTAGTTCCTTTATATTTCAGCTTAAGTGCCACTCCCTGGGAGAAACCATCCCTGGTCTCAACTAGATAAGCACCTTGTGAATACCTCCCTTGGTACACATGCCCGCTGTGTCTGATTGGTGTCTGTCTCCCCCACCTACATCTCCCCAGGTTGAGACATTGTCTATGATTGCACACAGTTATGCCTCCAACCATTACCACAGTGGCTGGTCTATAGTAGGTGCTTATTTCATATTGGCTAATGGAAGACAGAAAGGATGGAAGAGAAGGGGAAGGATGTGGAGAAATTGAGGGGGGTGTTGTAGAGAGGTGATGATATCAGTTCCAATTTAGACTTGATTTTAATTTAAAATTTTTAAAATCAAATTTTATTGATTTTGAGTGGTGCATCTAGGAACAGATGTTCTCAAAACAGGGAAAAGGGATTTGAAGTTTAAAGAAAGGCAGATCACACCCGGCTGGAATGGCTCAGTGGTTGAGCATTGACCTATGATCCCCAGTGGTTTGGGATCACTAACTGTCAATGTGGACAGGTTACCAAGTCTGAGTCGCCTTTAAACCCAGACAGAGACATATGATCCAGTCGCAGCCAGGCAGACTCCCAAAACTGGCTTCCCGTATCCCCAGGCTGCTTTATACCCAGCTGGCCACTCAGAACAACCAAATATTGATCATGCAGAAATGAGATTCTTGATTTGGCATCTGGAGTTTATCAAGTACTTAGTGATATCTGTCAGTCATAGATAGGGTTATTAAAACATGCATCCTCTCACCTTTCCCAGGCTTCCTCACTGGGTTGTTGCAGAGATCCAAAGAGAAAATGCATGTGGAGAGACTGTCAAAATATCAAGTGTCAAACAAAAGAGTATGACATTGCCATTATAGAGATCAACTGCCAACATTCAGGGTGGCTTTTTCTTCTTCCTAGAAAGGAAAGAAACATTTCATGGGAGTCCATCTTTTCTGATACCTCAGTGAGACTTGGAAATCGGACAAACCTGGGTTTAAATCTGGCTCAGTTATTTTATAGATCCTATTCCTGGGTCAGGGGCTGAGCTTTTCGAAGCCTTTGTTCTCATCTGTAAGATAATCAATAGCACCACCTCACCCCACAAAGTTGTTTTTTAGATAATGCCTATAAGTGCTGTGTGCATAGTGCCAGGCATATAGTACTTAATAAGTGTTCATGTTTAATATCATCACTATCTTTAGTAGTGTTCTGAGGAGCAGTGACCCAGTGGAAGAATCACAGAATCGCAAATCTTTCAGCATCCTCTCATCCAGGCGGTAGCACCCCAGATCCCAGATCCCAGATGTTGAGTTCAATGGCAGAACTCCCTGCAACCCAACGGAGTGTTCTTGCTCTCCTCACTCCCTCCAGAATTAAGGGCATTTAGTACGTGTAGCTGTACTTGGAAAGGGATCTCTGAGGGGACAGGGAGGATCAATTATAACTTGGGTCAAGTTCTATATGAGATGCCAAATCCATTCTGAGACAATGTAGAGAGATCTACCCTGGGGACTACACAGGAAAGACATAGCTAGTGTTCATTCCAGGCCTGCTCTTTTCTTATCTTAGCTGTGTGATCTTGAGTAAGTCATTTCACCATTTTGGGCCTTATCATCCTTAACTCTGAAATGAGGGGCGGGGTTATGTAAGAAGGGCATGGAGTTAGAGATTGCCTCTAAGTTCTCTCCACATTTCCGTTGTTATGATCCTATGCTGGTAGACTAATTGATGCCTGTCCATCCTTTGTTTGCCCCTGGCAAATGTTCGTTAAATGCTAGCTCCTCCCCCAAGTAAATTCCATTTTAAAAATCATTTTCATACTATCTAAATCCCTATGAAATTTCTAATTGTCATTCAACAAAAAAACAACAACTATTAAATCAATAGTAACTGCGCTTTAAAAAATAAAGAAAACATTAACAATTAATTTATTGATCACTGGTGAACGTCACTTAATTGGCAGGTAGAATCACCTTAGTGATGTTGAGTAATCTAGACAAAGAACATGAAAGAAGGAAAGTTCCTGCTTGTAGTCATTAGAACAAGGTGAGGCTAATTTTCTTTCCTTCTGTTTTTTTCAATATTTTATTGATTTCAGAGAAGAAGGGAGAGGGAGAGAGAGAGATAGAAACGTCAATGATGAGAGAGAATCATTGATTGGCTGCCTCCTGCATGTCCCCTACTGGAGATGAGCCTGCAACCTGGGCATGTGCCCTGACCGAGAATTAAACCATGACCTACTGGTTCATAGGTCAACGTTCAATCACTGAGCCACGGCTGGGCAAAGCTTATTTTCTTTTCTGCTTCTTGGAAGAAAGTTTTGAGCACAGAATTGTTATAATGTACTCGAAGAAAGATGTCCCTTTGGGAGAGTAGCAAAGGCTACAGGCTGGGGACACCGTGAGCTTCTCTGAATAGGTTTACTTATCTGGAAAGAACTGTAGTTTGAGCGCAAGCAGAAATGTGCGTGTGGGCACATCAGAATGGAACGTTGAAACCAGGCTTATTCCAGAAAATGCTCGGAGGAAGTAATGATGAGGGATAAGTGAGTAATGAGGATCCCATTAGTTAAAGACCTAAAGTTCTAGCCATAGGAGTTAAAAATTTACATGAGAGACACTTGGGAATTATGTGGTTTTGAAAATGGAAGAGTTTTTTTCCCCCTTGTCTCTAAATTGCAGTGTGTGGGCACACTTTCTCTCCACACCCATGAGAAAAAATAACCCATCCAACACAGAAATACCAGATCTAAAATGCTGTGAGGAGTCACTTAATTTAAACCCAGCCCTTCTCTGTGTTGCTTCTTTGAGGCAAGGTGCCTGGAACATAACTGCAAATTCAGAATTAGAATGGGTGGAAAGAATAAATAATGGTAAGATGTCCTAAAGCACCAAGTCCCTGTTTATGTTCACCTGACAAAACTGCTTTTAGTGTCAGAGGAAAGCGATTATGACATGTGCAGGCGGGAAAGGACAGCATCATCGTGGAGACCAGGACAGACTTATCCCGGGCTCCCAGGCTAGGGATTCTACAAGGAGAACAGTAGTGAAACCCACTTCCAACCATTCATTTATGAAGCAGAATCAACTATTGCTGTTCTCCTCACCATCCTGCTGCTGTTTGTCATCATTTCATTGTTTTTATCTTTTGCACTAGTTTTATACTTTATTAACTAAACAACACAAGTCTGTGAATTCTTTCTGCAAGTTGATTTCAGGCTTGCTTTCTCTATTGTCTAAGACAAGTGGTCAATGCCCTCACAATGATTAAATGCAGAAGATAATTCTTAATCCTTTTTTTTCTTTTAACATTTGACACTATAAAGACCTACACATTTGGTTCCTGATTCTCCCCCAGTTCCTCTCATACTTTTTAAACTGCTCAAGTGTTCTTGTGGTTCTCAACCTTCCTAATGCCGCGACCCTTTAATACAGTTCCTCATGTTGTGGTGACCCCCAATTTCATTGTTACAAATTGAACATAATTAAAGCATAGTGATTAATCACAAAAACAATATGTAATTATATATGTGTTTTCCGATGGTCTTAGGCAACCCCTGTGAAAGGGTCGTTCGACCCCCAAAGGGGTTGCGACCCACAAGTTAAGAACTGCTGCTTTAATTGTTAGAGCAGTTTTAGGTTCACAGCAAAATTAAGCAGAAGGTACAAAGATTTCCCATATTCCCCCTGCCTCCACATGTGCCCTGACCAGTAATCAAACTGGAGACCTCTTGGTGCTTGGAACAAGGCTCAACCAACTGAGCCACATGGGCCAGGGCTCAATGTTGTTTTAATTTGCATTTTCCTGATGACATATGGAGCATCTTTTCATGTGCTTATTTGCCATATTCTTTGGTAAACTGTCTGTTAATATCTTTAATTATTTAATTAAAGATATTATTTAATCAGGTTTTTTTATTTCCTTATTGTAGAATTTTAAGAGTTCTTTGTAGCCCTGCCTGGTAGGGATCAGTTGTGGGGCTCATCCTATTCTCTCTCTCCCCCCGCTCCTCTAAAAATCAATAAAAACATCCTCAGGTGAGGATTTTAAAATAAATAAATAATATTTTTTAAAAAGTTATCAACAAACCCAAGGTCACCTAGATTTTTCTCCTCTGTTATCTTCTAGGATTTTTATATAGGATTTTTTTTAGTTCTGGATCTGTGACCCATGTTGAGTTCAGTTTTGTGAAGTGTGTAAGAACTGTGTCTAAATTTTCCTCCCCTCGTCCAAGAGGTCTTTTTCCTACCTCTTACTGCATTTATTTTCTTAGATTTATCTCTAGATAAATATTTACTTTTATCCTGATTGCTCTCATTTATTCACTCTCCTGTCTTCTAGGAAAGTCCTCGAATACCAGTCCATGGACTAGCGACATCAGAATCAGTCAGGGCAGGGGTCCTCAAACTTTTTAAACAGGGGGCCAATTCACTGTCCCTCAGACCGTTGGAGGGCCGGACTATAGTTTAAAAAAAAACTATGAACACTGCACATATCCTATGCACACTGCACATATCTTATTTTGAAGTAAAAAGACAAAATGGGAACAAATACAATATTTGTATTTGCATATGGCCAGTGGGCCGTAGTTTGAGGACCCCTGAGTCAGGGTGTTTATTAGAAATACAGCTTCATAGGTGCCCCCAAGATTGAAACTTCTGGGACTCAGAATTTTAACATAATTTTAAGCAGGGAATCATATTTAAGGATTGTAGGCGATTCTGAGGAGCAGAAAACCTTGGTGATCACTGTTCTAGGAGATGCTGATGATATTCACACTTATTTCTTTAGTCAATCCTACGAGTTTCCTAAGCCCCAACATAAAGACACACTCTTATCCTTGACCTTGAACAAGCCATTGTTATAGAACTAAAGAGGACTAAAAGGGTCCATTTGCTGCATGCACAAAGCCCAATAAGACATGAACAGGAGCCCTAACTGGTTTGGCTCAGTGGATAGAGCGTCGGCCTGCGGACTGAAAGGTCCCAGGTTTGATTCCAGCCAAGGGCATGTACCTTATTGCAGGCACATCCCCAGTAGGAAGTGTGCAGGAGGCAGCTGATCGATGTTCCTCTCTCATCGATGTTTCTAACTCTATATCCCTCTCCCTTCCTCTCTGTAAAAACACAATAAAATATATTTTTCAAAAAAAAGAACACTAACTACAACTCTGTCTCTGTAGTCAATAGACCCAGGTCCTGTTTCTAAGACTACTGGAGGCTGACCATAACCTCACTGTCCTGAAGGCTTAACGATTAAGCAAGGGAGAGGGAGGTGGGTGAGTCAGGGAGCTGGGTGAGGCCAGTTTGAGTCAAAGGGGAAAAAAAATCAAAATAAAAGGCCAGATGAAAGAAAATAAGGTTTCTGTACAGTTACAAATTTAGCATCTCTCAGCCCAATTTTCTCTTCTACAAAGTGAGAATGATAACATTTTCTCCCTTCCTGAGTTGTCCGGGCATTGTGTATTGCACTATTCTGACTCCCCCATTGAAAAAGCACTCAATAAAAAACAGCTGTCATTATTTTCTGTCCTCCTGTTGCACTTACCATGTGGTAAGAGACGTCTTCCCAGATGGGGCTCTCTCTCTCCTCAAGACTATGAGCTTGTTAGCAGCAAAGACACGGTCTTGTTCATCATTGTCCACCAGGATCCGGCACATGGTAGCCATTTGACAAATGCCTTGACTGGGTGACAAATACATAACCAAGTGAATCAGTTATTCACATAGTTCGTTACAGAATATTTTAAAATATGTCTGTGTGTGTGTGTGTGTGTGTGTGTGTGTCTAGGGAGGAACAAAAGAGGCATAGAGTTGTGGCAAGAATAAGAAAAGAGGGTGCTAACAACTTTTCTTATGAGACACAGCATCTTTCTATTGTGGATGGTGGAAGGGCACCAGGTGTTAGACGGGCGGGGTCAGGCAGGACCTGGGTTCAGCAACCTCGGAGTTCTGGCTAGGAAAGAGTTCAGAGACGAGACTCAAACTACAAGAGAACATTTATTTGGACAATCTCAGAGACAGAAGAAGTAATCTGTCGAAGAAATGGGTTTAGGAAACAAGTTATAGAAGTAAAGGAAGGGCCCTTGGAGCTTGGGAGTGAGGAAGGTAATGGTAAGGCACCCCTAGAACTTCACGGGGTGGGGGAAGAGAAAGCCTTAGGGGTGAGGGTTCTCCCAGAAGGCAGAGTGCACTGGGTCCTAAGGGTTTTGAGGGTGGAGCTTTTAGGGGAGGTCCCAGGGGAAGATCGCAATGGAATGTTCGGCAGCTTTCCAGGTGTGTCCTTTCAGGGTCAGGTCTCCACTGATTGACTGGTCAGCACCAGGGCAGGGGGTCATTAGTCAATGCAGCTGGTCCTGAGGGCAGCCATGGGGTCACTTGTCTGGTTTTGCTGCTTTTCTTGGTCTGGGGCTGAAATACAGCTGAGGCCTAGATGCTATCTCTAGGGAGGAAAGGTCAGGGAGTCCAAACGGCATGACCATCTATATGCTAGGGGAGAAAAGGTCACCCTTGGGACCAGGCCCCACCCTACAAGTGCCCTTTGCTAGTCACCCAGGGCTTTCCACCTTCTGTACTTGGCCCATCGGCCTTGCTCTGCGCATGTCTCTCTAACTGCCTACCACATTTCCTGTTAGTGCCCAGAAAAACTGGAGTAAAACTGGAGTGAGTCTGTGGTTAGATCTGTGCCCCTTCTCTTTACTTGACTGCAGTATGAACTCTAACATTTTTGCCATTTTAAAAAAATTTTTATTGATAGGTTTTCTTGCTTTTTATTATTAATCATTATCATTATCATTATTACTATTACTACTACTACTACTACTACTACTACTAGAGGCCTGGTGCACAAAATTTGTACACGGGTAGGGTCCCTAAGCCTGGCTGGCGATCAGGGCCCATCAGGGCTTCCTGCTGCCGACCAGGGCCTTCCTTCTTTCTGTGCCACCACCCGCTGGTGGTCAGATCACATCATAGTGAGCGATTGAACTCCCAAGGGGACACTTTGCATATTAGTCCTTTATGTATATAGATTATTAGAGAGGATGGGAGGGAGAGAGAAAAAGAAAAACATCAATGTGTGAGAAACATTGATCTGTTGCCTCCTGCACATGCCTGACTGGGGATCAAACCCAAAACCTGGGTATGTGCCCAGACCGGAATGGAACCCTCCACCTTTTGGTGCCTGGGACCACGCTCCAACCAACTGAGCCACACTGGCCAGGGCCATTTTGGCCCCTTTGACTTTCCTTTCTGGGCACTAAGCTGCAGTCACTGTCACCAAGGAAACAGCAGCGATGCCTCCTTCCTCACAGCTCTGCACAGCTACACTCTGGCTGCCTTTGTCCACGGAGCTAGCTACGTTCTTTGTGTGCACACCCCTAAGTCGACCGTCCTCTACACAGAACTTTGCCCATTATTTTACCTTTTTTAAAAATGTGTCCCAAAAAAACTTGATGTCTACCCATTTCTTCCTGGCAATGGCCTTTTTCCAGACCTGTCCGTAATCTTAAACGCACCATTTTTGGGTCCCTTAGGAGCAAATATAAAAATTGCCTGTTTAGCCTTGTGGCGTGGGGAATATAAGGGAGGGTCCATTTTCAAGCATGCAACCGAGCATGCATCATGGGTTTCCCTTTTAAAAGCACGGTAGACCAAAAATAAACCTGAGGGAGGGCAGCTGTGGAGTTCGAACATGTGGAAAACTCCACGGGCGGCCGTTATGTAACAAGGAGCATGCTAACTCTTTCACGCTTTTGGATGGACTTCCAACTCCGACACGTGAAAAGCTAAGGACACAAAACACACCTTAGCTCTCGGAGGAGCAAACGGCTCCCACTGAGCGGGGCCAGAGTTATTGCTCCAATCGGAGACCGGCCCTCCAGCCCCTTGATTGCTTCTTTACCCTCCTATCTTAATTGCTTTTTTTTTTTAACCCTCGCGTCCCAGGCGGGGCAGGCGAACCCCATCTCCCCGGAGCGCCTCTTCGGCTGCTTCTCTCCACGCCCGAAATCTCCCAAATCTCCCCACCTCTAGGCTGCAAACCCCAAAAGTTTTGCGGCGAGGAGGGCAAGAGAGGAGACGGAGCCAGGCCGGCGTGGCCCACCCGCCCCGGGCCCGC